GTGTAGAGCAGCCAGGTTTGTGTTTAATGATTATGAATGAGATTCAAGTGTCACAAAGATGATCCAGGAACTAAACTGGGATTCAATAGAGGAGCGAAGGGAACTTGCCCCGACTTGTACTGTTTCATAGAGCAATAAATGGTAAAAGTGAAATAAACCTCTCATCTCTATAAACACACTAGGGACAATCAAGAAGATGTGTATAAGAGACAGGTTCCAGTCAATATCTTTAAGTTCGTTAATGAAATTGTTTTCATTAAAATTTTTAAATGATCGCGATTTAATTAATTTAGGAGGAGCTTTCAGTTTTTTTATTTTACGATTTAAACAAATTAAAGAGTGGTCACTAATTCCAAGGCTAATCACACCGGCAGTTGAGATACTAGGAGTAGTAACAAATATTAGGTCTATTATTGTTTTACTAACTTTTGTTATTCTTGTAAAATCTTTAATTAGCTGGTTTAAGTTACTTTGCTTTGCAAGGCTGTTAATCTTCCTTTGGTTAGTCCTATTAGTAATGTCAAGATTAAAATCCCCTAATATAACAACATCAACATATGATGATGTACAACGTTGAAACATAGAGTCAAGTTTTGTTAAATATTCAGCTTTTGCACTGGGTGGTCTATATATTGTACCTATTAATAAAGGTTTGGAATGGGGTAAGTTAAGTTCAACCCAAAGTGCTTCAATTCCATCTTCACTAAAAATGTTAATTTCTTTAAAAAGCAGATTATTTTTAATGTAAAGTAAAATACCACCACCAATTTGGGAATTTGGTCTATCAATTCTACAAATTTCGTAACCATCAATAAAAACTTCATTATTGTCAATATTACCATTAAGCCACGTCTCAGTTAAACAAAGAATACCAACATTTATATCATGTAATAAAGTTCTTACATTATCAACTTTATTTCTTAAACACTGAATATTAAGATGAGCAATTTTAAAACCTTTTTTAAAAAACATCTTGCGCTAAGAAATGGAATATGAAGTTAAGACAACCAAATGTGTAGCCATGAGCATCACAAAAAAGAGAAACAAGTTGAACCATGCATACAACATGGATAATAGGCCTACAGAACTGAAAATTGCAAGACAGCATCCTTAACTCGGTGTCACCATATCAGAAGATCTATCATGGAGTGTTCGCTACGAAAGTATCACAGCAAAAGCATATAAAATCCTTGGCATGTTAATAGAAACATGCGCACATCAAATAAAAGAATTAAAAACCAAGCATATACAACCCTGGTAAGACCAATCCTGGAATATGCAAGCTCAGTATGGGATCCATATAACAAATTACACACAAAGCAATTAGAGTTGGCTCAGTGTAGAGCAGCCAGGTTTGTGTTTAATGATTATGAATGAGATTCAAGTGTCACAAAGATGATCCAGGAACTAAACTGGGATTCAATAGAGGAGCGAAGGGAACTTGCCCCGACTTGTACTGTTTCATAGAGCAATAAATGGTAAAAGTGAAATAAACCTCTCATCTCTATAAACACACTAGGGACAATCAAGACATGGGCATGGCAAAATGTTCCAGCGACCACACATCACCATGATACACCTTTAGGACAGGTAATCAGGCCTTGCTATCCCTCTCCCAATTCATCACCTTGTGACAGCGAGGATCAGAGCTTATAACCTCAAGATTCCTAAAGCCAGACACTCGCTGCATTGTACAATAGACGAATCACATTACTTGGTTTATAAAAAAACAATTTTTCAGTATGGAAGTCTTGGGTTGTCTAGTGGAAATACAGTAACCAAAGGTCCTGAAAAATCACGTCCTGGACGTTAGGAGTCTAGGCGCAGTGATAAATTTAAGTAGAATTGTTGTGTATTTCCATCTGTAATTAAGCCAACATTTTTAAGTGGTCATAAATAATTGTTTATTTTTTCGAAACTAATCGCGAGGTTTAACATACTAGAGGGTAAGGGTTTATGATGTTGTTTTGTATGGAATGCCAAAAGAGCAACATTTTATGTACGTATTTTGCATCCGGGTTTTAACATCATCACTCCGCATCATCATGAATGTTCCCAGCATCCGGAACAAAACCACCCAAGCATTTCTCTCTGTTCAGTGCATTGATATTTTAACCATAACTGAATCATGGCTCACGTCTGATGACTTAACTTCATCTTTAGGATTTCTTCAGGATTATTTTGTAATCCGAAAAGACAGATCTACCAAGAAAGGAGGTGGTGTGCTTGCAGCTATTAAAACTGAACTGAATCCAATTCATTGTCATGAACTCGAGTCTACTCCTCATGAAATTGCTGTATATGTTTTTCTATTTCAGTTGATAATTGTAAAATGCTTTTTGTCGCTTGTTATTGTCCACCTAATTCCCCAGTATAATTTTGGAATGATTTGAGTAATAATTTCCTTAACTACCTTATTTACCTAAGTATGATAGCATATATATCGTTGGAGAAGATTAATCGATTAGTCGCAATTATTCGCGACTCTGTTTCATTGAAATCCAGTAAAAAGAGGAAACATTCTCCTTGGGTTACCAGTGACATCAGAAAATGCATTAATAAAAAACATAGATTGTTTAGAAAGGCGATGCGCATTGGTTCAATAGCTGCTTGGAATGAATACAAATCTATCCGTAACGTAGTTTAAGTCATATTACTCTTATGTTAAACTTTTTACCAGCGATTCCACGTGTAAAGCTTTCTGCGCTTTATTAGAGAGCGTAAACGCTCACCTGTCCCCCTGTCCTTTAACATTAATGGCTCACTCGTATCTTCACCCTTTGTCATTGCTAACTCATTTAATGATTTTTTTGTTTCTGTCTTTGGTCCTCCTACTCCCCCTTGTGTCGATCCTCCTGCATGTAACGTTCCCATTCCCGAACTCTCTCATATTAACATGTTGTTAATGATTTATCATCAAATAAATCACCTGGTCCTGACTCTGTCCATCCATTCATATTAAAGTCCGCTTCTGAATTTATTACCCCTCTCTTATTTAACTTATTTAACATGTCACTTATGAAGGGTAAAATCCCTACTGCCTGGAAGGTTTCACACATTACTCCCATATATAAATCCAGAGACAAGTCCTCTATTTGCAACTACAGACCAATTTCTCTTACCCCACTTTATTCCAAAGTTCTTGAAAAAATAATTTTTGATTGGTATATCCAATCACGTTGCTTATTGCTGTCCAATCAGCGATTCTCACCATGGATTTTTTTCTTCCCGGTCCTGTGTTACCCAACTTACAAACTTGATATATTCCTGGGCATCTTCCCTCAATAAACCTAAGCCTCCTCGAATTGATGTTCTCTCTTTGGACTGTGCTAAAGCGTTTGATAAACTTGCCCACCACATTGTGTTAAATTTCGCAACATCAAGCATATTCAAAAGTTCCTAACAAAAAATGCTCTTCTGAAGTTAGTTCATGCACTTATAACATCACGGCTAGATTATTGCAATGCAATTCTGTATGGTCTTCCCGCCTGTAGTTTAAATAGACTACAGCTATGCCTTAACACGGCAGCTCGTTTAGTCTCTGGAGTGTCTAGACGTGAACATATTTCACCTGTTCTCCATCATCTACACTGGTTACCAATTGACAAGCGCATCACATTCAAGATTCTGCTCATTACGTACAAAGCCCTGCACAACAAGACACCTGAATACATTTCTCAACTTCTAACGTCACGTTCTGTAACTTGTAGTAGGTCTATGAGATCAACGATGAATAGATTCATACTATCCGTTCCAGCATCACGACTCAAAACTTAGGGCTTTTTCTGTCGCTGAACCAAGACTTTGGAACACCCTACCAGCCTCTATCCGTGAAGCAACTTCTGTTCATACATTTAAGAAGAAACTTAAAACCCACCTTTTTTAAGTTTATCTTTTTACAATTTTTGTAGTTTAAGAGTATTTAAGTGTTTTGTTTTTTTGTTCCTTAAAGTTGCAACTCCCTTACTTGAGCCGGCGTCGCCACCTTAGCAGTGCACGGTAGTAGATCCGAGGCTTGGAAGCTACCAGAGCCCAGCATACTGTCGCCGGAGTACCTGCGTAGACGCGGTAGTGGTGGTGACGCTGTCTCAACAACAGGAGTTCGCATTTTTCATGCTGCTGCTTGGTTTTTTCCATTCTTGGTCTGCCTGTTTTTGAAGGCTTAATTTATCAATTATTTATTTATTTATTTATTTTCTATTTGCTTATTTATTTACTTTATTCATTTATTTGTATTTATTTAACTGATAATAAATAAAATAAAAAAAATATTCTGATTAATATAGGCCCTTTAATATAAGATATAATATAATTTAATTTTTTAAAATTCATGGTCCTACCTTTTTTTCGGCGCCTTGAGACAATTTTATTGTGGAAGGCGCACTACAAATATTCCCACCATTACCATTACCAAGAGACGCTTTTGTTTAGACATCTTTATGCTAGAACTAACTCCCTTCATCTTTCTGCCATTCATCTGTTGTTCCGCAGACTTTGGGAAAAACTCCCTGAAAATATTAAAAATTCCGTTATCCTTGATTCCTTTCCTACTTTTTTGCGCTCGCTTAAATCGCATGTCTTATGTTATAGCCCCTCCGTTTAGTTACTTTGCGCCACGTATCGGATGGTTCTTTTTTTTTATCCCAGTTTCTCTTTCTCTTCTGCTTTGTTAAACTGCTTGATTTTTATTGATTTAATGTTTTATAAATTTATATATTTATTGTTCAATTCAATTCAATTCAAATTTATTTCACTTGCAACAAAGATTACATACACAATTCAATCAAGTAAAGGAACGAACACACAAAAAAAGCAAGCAAGGGTTGCTGAGCGGGCATAAGCCCATATAAACAACTCCCCTAGACAGATTAATACAATTTATAGAAAATAAGCAGTAAAACTACAAGAAACGATTAAACTATAGAAACTTAAAGACTAAAATTAAAAACTTTAAAATATAACAGAATATAAAAAAAAAAAATTGCCAAAAAAATATGTGAATACTTATATTTAGGCCTAGTTAACAAAAGTAAATAAATAAATAGAATAAGTAAATAAATAAATAAAATAAAAAATAAATATGATAGACAAATGAATAAAAAGAAATAAAAATAAATAAATAAAATAAAAATTTAAATAAAATATAAATTAATTATAAAAAGTTCACTTTATATACAGGATGTGAAAGTCAGCTTACTTATGCCTAGTAACAATGACTATAATAAATTAAATAAAAAATAATTAAGGTCTACATAATATCAAGGTAAATACAATAAAAACCTATGGAATATATTTAGGAGTTATAGTTATTCAATTAAAATGATATTATCTAAAGGCATATTGGATAAGAATTGGAATGATGAAGAGAAAAGATAGCATAGTAGTCTAGTTTTAAAAACAGAAAGAGAAGGAGAATCTATAACATGCCTAGGGAGTGCATTCCAGTCAACAGCAGTTCTGTGTGAAAAGGAGTATTTAAGAGTATCAGTGTGGTGCATTGGAACTGTAAGTCTGAGATCGTGATTAGATCGAGTCTGGTTGTGATTGAAAGAGAAGTAGCTGGAAAAAGTTAGATCAACTAAATTGTGGTACATTTTTAAACAGAAATTCAAAAGAAGGTATTTTCGGCGTTCATGCAAACTGGAAAAATTTAGTCTGTTTAGTAGAGAGCAGTAAGTGGACTCGTAGTCTTTACAAATGAAGCGGGCTACTCGACACTGCACACGTTCCAGCATTTGGCAAACACCCACTCTGTAGGGATCAATTGCTGAGGCAGATAACTCAAGATGTGGAAAATTAAGAAAACATAAAGCTTGATTAAAGATGTTTGTGGGCATTTATGAAACACACGTTTCATAATTCCAAGAAGTCTGTTGCATCTTTTACTTGTTAAAGAAAAATGATTTTTGAACGAAAGGGTATTGTCAATAGTAACACTGAGGTACTTTTCTGATGTTGACCAACTCAGAGTATAGCTGCCAAGGGAATAACAGAAGTCTGATGATGTAATAGGGTTTTGTTTTCCTAAATTCCAATCGGTTGACCAGTTAAACACAGTGGATAAATCATCTTGAAGATTGTGAGAGTCGGATAGGGACTTAATGCTTCTATATATAATACAGTCGTCAGCATAAAGTTGTATAGTGGAGTTTACAACAACAGAAATGTCATTTATAAAAGATAAAAAAAGAGTAGGTCCCAAGATTGTGCCTTGGGGAACACCAGAACCCACTTTCGTCCACATTGAAGATTCGCCTGATACAACTGTCCTTTGTAAGCGGTCAGAAAGAAAGTCAGTTATTCATGACAAATTTGTGCCATGGATCCCAAGAGAATGGAGTTTCTTTAGTAGAAGGGGAAAACACACAGAGTCGAATGCATGTGAGAAGTCTTAGAAAGCAACGTCAATGCAACCGCTTTTGTCTAATATCGCAGCCCAATCCTGGAACGAGGTTATTAACTGTGTTTCGCAACTACGTTTGGCTCGAAAACCATGCTGATTGTTAGAAAGGAAGTTATATTTACTAAAATGAGACATGATGTTCTTATTGACAATACGTTCAAGTACCTTACAGACAAGAGATGTTAAAGAAATGTGACGATAATTTTTAGGGTTAGTTTTTGAGCCATTCTTGAAGATAGGGTAATATTGGCCAGTTTCCAGTCCTTAGGAAGTCGGCCAGAAGATAGAGACAGGTTGAAAAGTGAAGTGAGAGATGGGGCGATTTGAGATGCACATTCATGGAGTAACCTGCCTGGAATATGGTCAGGTCCTGGTCCCTTGTTGACAGTTTTATGTGTTTGTATGTGACTGAAACACAGTCGATAACAAACACAGTTGGTTTTTGGCCTCTCAATGGGTTACAGTAAAACTTTGCTTTAGCTGGCCCTGACCATTGCTGTCATCTATTTCAGTGGTTTTTAAATATGTATATGTTATGAAACTGCTATCAGAACCTGTAAGGATACCTGAACTACCACTGCTGACATTACGTATAGAAAATAACTGAGCGAGATACTGTAGCATGCAACATGCATCGAAACATTTGCGACATTCACATACTAGAGGGGAAGCGAGTGCACCCTCTAGTAGTAGTAGTAGTAGTAGTAGTAGTAGTAATAACAGGAGATACGATGAAGACTTGCCTCAAAATTAATTTGAACACAACAGATAATGAGTGCTTTCAGTCATAGACATACACCCCATTCTCCTTGTTTATTTATATTTAATATTTTTATTGATGATTCTGATTTCAGTTTTAATTTTTTGTTCCTTGTCTGCTCATTGTAGAAGATCCATGCTATGAGGTCGGTAAAACCCTCAACCTTCTGATCATTAACTCATCTTCAATGGAAAAGTGTACAAATATGCATACATTTGACTACTTTGAGGGGAGTGAAAAACCATACATGTTTTCATTCGGTGCCATGCTGACTTGGATATTTGGTAAGTCAATAAAAAAATACAAAAAAACATACACCTAACATATATGCCTAACCCATATGCCTCATCTGCAAATGCCTTAATACTAATCCGCACATCAAACTTCCCCATTCTAACCTCCCAATTCACCCCCTCCATTAACCAACGTTGCATCCAACGTGGTATAGTATCACATAACATGCGACATTTGCGACAAAGGGTCGTACATTGGTGAGACTGGTAACAAATTCAGACTCGAATTCAACAACCACAAACAATCCTTCCGCAATCACAGTAAGGGTTTCCCTGTAGCCGACCACTTCAACTCCACCCGGCCATTCTATAACTTCTTAATGAAAGGTACATATCAGGACTCAGACATATAATCAAACACAATTAAAGGCCCACATATTCGGAATAAACAAGGACTTTGGTATAATCAGTGATTATTCTTAATTCATATTATTTTATTGTTTTATTTATTTATTTATTATTTTTTTCATGTTTAATTATAGACCCATTTTTTAAAATATATTTTTTTTCATATCAGTATATTTTTGATAGTCTTATTTCTTATAGCCCTATTTATTCAGTCATATATATTTTTGTATTTCTCTATATCATTATAGAGTTTCTATTTCTGCCTTTCTGCCTCTTTGCTTTAGAACTTGCCTGTTAGTTAACATATTTTTGTTTATTTGCTATTTATCATGTTGGAGGGGGTCTAATCTGAGCGGCTCCTTTATACAATGTCATTGTTTATTTCCTTTATTGATATTTCCGACTGAGATCTCTGTTCCTACACTGATATTAGCCTCATTATAATTACAGTTCCCAATTAGTTTATTTATTACTATACTTACTCCGAACCTGGATAAGACCTGAGGACGGGTTGAAATATTCATGTTTTTGAATAAATTTTGTGTTCTAAGTCTACCATGTCATTGTCATCTCTTAAGAGAGGGGAGATGAATAGTGCAACCAGAATGAGGCAGAGTAATAGAGCAATCTCTTAACTGTGATGCTCACAATGTTGTATATATGTTATTCTGCAATATTTGTGAAGATGATCATTATTTTGGTGAAACTGGCATTGATTTTAGGTCCACATTTAAAAACCACAAATCTTTTATCCGACACAATCGCACAGGTTTTCCTGTTTCAGAACACTTCAACTCTCCCAACCATTCTCTCAGTAACCTATGATGTG